AAACAGTTCAAGCCTGAACTTTTTAAGGTATTCTTAACTTACCAAAAAAACCTCAAAGGCATACAAGCGACATGGAATAGCGTGATGGCCTCCCAGATACCCATCAGCCAGCTTCGATGATTGTCAACCTGTGGCCAGTGGTATTTCCTCTAGACACCCTGCCACTGACCAATATTATTTTGAAGCAAGTCCAAGACCCTTTATTATTTCATCCATAAACAAGCTCAGTATCTATTTCTAAAGATGAGAACTTAAAAAAGCACAAGTGGCCGCATTACCATTACCCACTTAGAACAATTCCTTAGTCGTCATCAGATACCCCATTTCATGTCCAAATTTCCAGATGTCTCAGAAATATCGTAATGTCTTCTCTTAAGTTTGTTTGAATCAGGATCCAGACAATGTCTGCACAGTACAAGTGGTTGACCTGCACGCCTCTTTCAGCATGCAGCGTTACGGCTGTCTTTTTTTTTCTTCCCATGTAATAGATTGGTTAACAAAGCTGCATAATGTATCTATCTTTTAGTGTTTCCTCAGTCGGGCTTTTTTTTTTTTTTTTAGCTGCATCCACTTGGAATTATTTAACATGCTTCTCTGCCTTCTGTGTTTTCCTATAAGTTGGTGGCTTGGGGAGGCTTGTTTCGATTCCAGTTCTCCTTTTGGTTGGCTGGACTACTTCCTGGGCGGTGGCTGGGCTCACTGGGGGGACCACACCTTCTAGCCGTCTCTCTGTTAATGTCAGCAGCTGCTGATGATCATGGTCTGGGTCCATTTGAGCTTAGAGGTTGCAAAATGGTGATTTTGTAATTCTCTTCATTCCTTTGGACTTTTGGGAAGAGAGCATTTCTTTGTGCAGCCCTAGTGTTTGCCCACCTCTGGGCCATCCTGACTGCTGGAGCATTTTGGCTCCTCCCAGCGGGAATGATCTGTGCCCAAGGCAAGATCCAGACTTGGGTGGGTAGCACCCACTGCCAGCCGGCACCTGGGAGAGTGTCCCAGTTCTCACTTGAGGATGGGGGCTGTCTGCTGAGCCCCGTCCCAGGCTGTGGTCATCTCAGCACGATAAGCCAACTTTGAGAAGTGCTTTTCTGCCGCCCAAGGAGGAAACAGCAAGTGCCCTTCCACCTGCAGAGCAGGCCAGGCTAGGAGTCTGCAGGGAAGGAACCTCTGTGGGTGTGGATGGGGAGGCAGTGGTCAGTGGTCAGACAGCCTTGGTGTGAGTGCCCTGCTGCCTGCCTTGTGGCCTCAGCAGGTTGTGGGGCCATGCCCTGGTCCTCCCCTGCCCGGTGGGAATGCCACCCATTTCCTCTGAGTTGTGTGGTGAGTCATGCAGGCTCTGAGCACAGGGTCTGCCACAGTGTAGGGGCTGCTTCATCAGTTTCTGGTTAGCATTCCCACAGCTGGCACGGGGCACCATTGTCATATGATGTCTGGCTGAACTTGAGTCCATGCAGCTTGTGTAGCTGGCCCAGAACCCATGACAGAGGGAGAGGGGTACAGGACCAGAACGTAACCTGCCTGGCTGGCGGGTTTGTCAGTAAAAGTACAGGGTGGTTAGGAAACCGCAGGGCTGTGGGAGTAAAAGTACACATTGTGTCACGGTGGAAATCTCTGAGCCTTTGAGCAAGAATCTTGAGAGAGGAGAGGATGTGGTTGAACAGTGGTGGGGACTAGAAGACAGTGTCCCCATGGATCTAACCGGTGCACACGCGGAGGTGTAACCTGCCCCCACAGTGTTCCCAGAGGCCCTCTCCCAAACGTGGAGCTGGCAATATGCATTTCGCTTTCCCTTGCTTGGCAGACCAAGCAAGGAAACAGAAGGTCGTGACTGGAGAGAGTGCCGGACCTGGTCCTGCTCCTAAGCATCCAGGAGAAAAGGACAGCGGGCCACATGTCGTTTCCATTAAGTGGCCTCATCTGCTTGTCTGGGACCCAGCAAATGGAGGGAGGAACTCTTTAGGGCTGGGGCATTTCCTTGGGTCCATTTTTATCTGTTGCTGGTTAATTAGGTATTACCTTCTAGATAAACTAATTTGTGTACTCATTCTAGGCAAAATGTCTCAGTTGCAAAGTAGGAATTTTCATAAAAAGGAAAACTTTTAATTGTATCCTATGTCCCTCCTTAGTCTTGCAGAATCCCAGTGTCACCTTAAGATGTCAGGGTCAAATTTCTTAGGGTGAGTAGACAATGCAGGCACGAAATTTAGCAAGAACAATCGAGATTGATCACTTCCATTTACTTTCCCTTCTTTTGGGTGGTGACTGTTTAATGGTAAATCTGTATTTTATGTCAACACCTCCTTTGAAACTTGAGATATTGATGTGATCTTCAGCAACCGTCTCCATTACGAGAGAGGGGACCGATTTATAAAGCGTGCAGCCTGAGTGGGAGCTGGAACCAGATGGCCATTTTTCAAAGTCAAGGCCACTCAGCTAAATGAATCCAGAGGTGTGTCTGGGTTTTCTCAGCTGGTGCGAACCTGTGGACAGCTGTGATCAGGGCTTGGGCGTCACACGGATGTCCTCGCCGGTCTCCTCGCCGGTCTCCTCCCGGGAAGGCTTGGGTTTGGCTGTTGCCTTTGCTTGTAATTCATCTCTGTTTACGTGGACGGTGAATTAGATTTTTATTTTTGCAGCAAGAAAATCATTAGAAAAAGGAGTATTTCCCTATTGTAATCCTGTTACATAAAAAGATTTACATTAAAAAGAGTGTCTTGTGAATAAATTAGGGTAACAAGGAATTGGTTATTTGGAGAAGAAAAGAACCCTAAAAATAAAAATTAAGAAAAACATACAAGCAATGCAGGATTGTTGTGCATGAATTAAAATCAGGAGATGCAGATGAGAAGCGGACAGTGATGATAATGTGTGAAAGGCCGACACCTGAGGGCTCAGATTTGCGGCATTTGCTGCTGCTTTAGGTTGTGAATAGTTATGTTGCCTAATAAACCTGGAAGTTAAAGGAACAAAGTTTTTCTCTTAAATCGCAAGTAAATGTGGGTGAATCCTGGTAGTGTTGGTCCAAATCATATACAGGCACTCTCCTAGTGTTGAATGAAGCAGTGGAACTGATACAGTGGTTGGTGAGGGGAGCATTTTTGTGCAAACTTTTGGGGTGGTGGTGGTCCAGTCCCGTGTTTCTTCTAAAATGGAAATATTGCCTGACTTGAAGTATTCCATGAAACTGTATCAGGCGACAGTGAAAGTCATGATTCTGACTTAGAGTTTTGCTCATGGTGACAGAGATCAGTGGGAGCAGGTCTGGGACGAGAGACTGCAAGGTCCCCGAGGCGGTGAGTGGAGCGTGATGCCAGGAGGACTCAGGTCGCCGAGCAGGCCATTGGCTAGGCATCACGTGCAGTGTGCAGGCGTGGCTTTCACGTCTTTAAATTGACCTAAAGCAAGAAATAACTAGTAAGTGGGGAAAATGCCTGAAAAATAGCCATCTTCTTATCTTTAAATCCACTATTAAACATCTGTAATTTGTGTTCCTTGTAGGGTTATTCAAATAGAAATGGAAAAGAAAGCCCATAACCTTTAGGTTTCTGTGTGGCATTTCAGATGTCCTTTGCTTGCTTCCATTCAGCTCTCAGAGGCACTTAGGATGCAGCAAGCCTTGTGCGCCCATGGGCTTTCACACCTAGCAGTGCAGCTCGGGCATCGCCCCCAACCTTCATCTGTGCCAGCCTGCCAGTGAAGGGGCTGTCTGGTAATTAGCCACACTTTGGTGAACGTTCAAGTTGTTTCTGAGTTTTCAGTCTTCTAAACTGCAATTAAGGGTGTTTTCATAACTGCACTGAGCACTTGTTTGCCATGTTGTCTTAGATGGGTAATTGTTCTGTCAGTTTTCTTCAATAAAATAATGTATTATTGCCTTGACTCCAAAAGGTTTGTAACAGTTTACACTGATGAAAGGAGCACAGACCCCTGTGCATACCACTTCCCCATCGCCCCACTTAGGGGCATTGCATTAGAGAGAGGGGTGATGGAGTGGCCCAGCCTTTCCCAGCGGGGCTGCAGGAGGAACCCGAGGGCAGGCCACCACCCGTGCTCTCAGGTGCCCTCCCCTGGCTACCTGCTCCTTCCATCAGTGGTTTTATTCCTCAGACTTCATGCAGATACTGCTCATGGGCTTCGGGCTGATTTCAGGTCTGGAATTAGAGAGTGGTGTGGAGAAGTGAGGACAGTGGAAGCAGCATGGGAGCTGCCTAGGCAGAGCTGGCTGGGACGGTCATTTTCCTGTGGTCAGCGAGAATGGCTTCTCAACAAATGATGTTTGCCCAGCCTGCTGCTTGTAGGGCCTTTCAAGGAATGCACCTCTCTGTCCTTCCCTTGTGAGTTTTGGCATGTGCTGGCATCCTTGTGTGTGGTTAAAGTTTTTGATACTGTGTGTCTGTTGGTTACCTGATGGTCCTATGTGTGTTTTTCCCATTCCTTCCTCATTTGCAGGGCCAGTTTCTGAGGGCTGCACAACTCCTCGTTCCCCTGCTGGGAATCTAAGTCTGCATGGGGAGTGGCTCCGAACCACAAGATATCTAGCTGCACCATGAGAAAGCCTGTGTGTTGCCTTGTCATAGAACACTGACCCTTTTATATTGTGGCACGTGATTGCTGCAAGCCCTCTTTGGGACTAGTATTTCTGCAGGGTGTGCGGGAGGTTGCTCTGGGCTGGTGGTTGTAGTGGCTACACTTGAAAGGGCATCCACTGGGTGCCAAGAACTCTATGTATGTTAACTACCTCTTATAACAGTCAACACAGTCCATATCATCATGTCATTGTGGGGTTCAGAGACTCAGAGACTATGAACCTCACGTGAGGATCTACAGGTGGCGAATTGGAGAAACAAGGTTGGCTGTCCAGACATGCCCGACCCCAGAGCCTTTGGGTGGAGCATGAACTGTCAGGAGCTGCAGGGGGTGTGAGCATGTCCAGTGTACTTGAGACAGGGGTCAAAGTGCATAGCCAGCATCAGCAGGTCAGCTCCAGGGAGTTAGTACAGAATGCCTGAGCGCTCAGGCCGAGAGTTCAGTGCCCACACCACAGAGCCTGAGAGCTGGAACAGTGAACATCTGTGTGCAGGTTGTCTTCATTCCTGTATTACTGTGTCTGCAACTGGGTGATCCTGTGTGTGAGGAGCACATTTGCACATGAGTCTTTGGGCCTGTTGTGCATTTCATCCTGTTGGCCTGGCCTGTGAGTTTGATCATTAGAAGTAGAGGCTGAGCAGCCGAGGAAAGAAGAGGAGCTGGGCAGGTGAAAATCCAGTCCTGGGCTTGCCTGCAACACTCAAGTGATTGGAGGAGGGCGTGGGGCTGCTGCGGTGACGGGATCGGCTGGACAAAGACTGCGTGTGCCTAGGTGATGGGGGTGGCGTTTGAGAATACCGGGCCTCTGGGGTGTGGAAGGATAAAGTAGGGCATGTTGCGGTCTTTCAGTCCTAAGCCTCAGTGTGGTTTTGGGGTCCGGCAGGGTTGCGGAGGCAGGAGTCAGCACCCAAGCACTGAGAGGAGGAGGCCCAGGGCAGCTGGCCTCCCGTGCCTCTCGTCTGTGTCAAGACATTGGTCAGCAGCTTCTTGAAGATGCCAGTGGGGCAGTCTGGGAGTTTGTGTTGGAGAAAAGGTGGGTGATAAAGTACCTGTGACAGTAAACCCCATCACAGTGCTACAGGGGGTCTGGAAGATGCTGTTATATAAAATAACAGCTCAAATTATTGCCAGGCTGCTGAGCTGCCTGGGGTGAATGCTGTCAGTTCCAGGCCCTGGCGCATCAGAATTTATTACCGAGGGTTTCCGTGCATCGTGGTCTGCACGTGCCCAGTGTACAGCCCGTTAAACTGAGCTGGACGTCACAAAGCTGGTATCACAAGGCTTTCCTGGGGACCCTAGTGACCTGGGTGGTGGTTTCCTGTGGCTGCTGTGACACGTGACCTAAACACAAGGGTGCAGATTGATTCTCCTACGGGTCTGGAGGTCAGAGGTCCCCAAATTCAGGATTTGGCAGGGCTGCACCCTTCTGGAGGCTCTACGGAGAGCCTATTCCCGGCCACTCCCGGCTTCGGGAGGCCACCTGCATGCCTTGGCTCCTGGCCCCTCCTGTCCTCAGTGCCAGCAGAGTGGCCTCGTCCAGTGTCTGACTGGGCTCCCAGCGCCTCCTCACCTTCTCTCCTGCTTCCCCCTTTCACATTGTAAGGTCATGTTGGGCCCATCTGGATAACCCAGAGCCCCCCACCCACCCATTAAAAGACCCTTAGCTTAATCACACCCAATCTGGGGATGAGGTCGTGGGCATCTTTGGGGACCATTTTTTTTTTTTGAGAGGGCATCTCATATTTATTGATCAAATGATTGTTAACAACAATAAAATTCTGTATAGGGGACTTAATGCACAATCATTAATCAACCCCAAGCCTAATTCTCGTCAGTCTCCAATCTTCTGAAGCAAAACGAACAAGTTCTTACATGGTGAACAAGTTCTTACATGGTGCACAGTGCAAGGGTAGTCATATCACAGAAACTTTCGGTTTTAATCACGCACATCATGAACTATAAACAATCAAGTCAGATATGATTATTCATTTGATTTTTATACTTAATTTATATGTGAATCCCACATTTCTTTTGGGGACCATTTTTCTGCCCACCTCAGTAGTCCCTTTACTCTGTGCTTCTCCTGAGGACTGACGTTCCTGCAGGCGGGGCGTACCTGTCATCACAGGGGCGCAGTCAGTCCGCGCAGGGTAGGGGCCGGGAGAGCTGCTGACCCTCAGGCTGCCTGGCGCTCTCCGCCAACTTCACTGCAGTTCAGGAAGTCCAGCTAGCACATGAGTAGCTGGGTGGTGGAGGGGGCAGTCGGCACAGGCCTGCTAAGGCACATGGACCACAGAGCCACCCAAAGAGGCTGGTTTTGGAATCCCGGCTTATCCTCATGGTCCAGGCTGCTGCCTCTGTGCTGTCCTTCACCCCTGGAGCCCCCCTTTGCAGAGGCTGTACCCCACTGCATATCGCACTGCACTGCACAGGTCCCGCTCCCCCCTCCACGGCTGTCCCTGTGGCCGACTGCCGCTGTCCCCCACCATTCCCCCCAGACCATGGGAGCACTGTCATCCTTGTAGCCTCTTCTCCTTCAAGTCCCATAGCTCGTGACTAACCCTCTCCTGTGTCACCTGCCTCTTTGTGCCTTAAAGTGTGGTCATGATTGGCACATGTGTCCTTGTTCATGTAGCATCTGTGAAGGGTCAAGGTTATGGGGAGACCTTGATTCTCTGCCCAAATTTGCTTCTGAACTGCAAGCAGGAGCCCAGTGCTGAGAAGTGGTTGCCTTTACTGGTCTGGGCCCTGGCAGATGTTTGTCTAGGTTTTAGACTTTTAAATGGAAAAAAGAAAACAGGAGAAAAGTCAGAGTTGGTCACAAAAAGTAGAATTTGCAGGGAATGAATTCAGCTCCTTTTCTGATTATTAACATGTTACATGCTCAATATAGAAAATATGGGAAACTATAAAGAAGAAAAGTGACCCATAGTTATTTCATCTGGAAGCAACTACTGTTACTTTGGGGAGCTTTTATTTTTTCCCACTCTGTGTTTTATGAAGGTTGGTATGTGTCACATACCAATGGTGTGTCCAGTTTTTCTCTGCTTAGTCCTTGTTATAGGGACATTTTCCTGTGTCCTCATCTCTTCATCAACAGTCTTTTTTATGGCTGCATGATATTTAATCATACGGATGTATTGGAATTGACTCATCCCTAACTGAATTATTTTTAAAACTTTTTGTTTCAAATAAAGAAATGGTCGAAATTAATGGTTTAAAGCAGATGAAAAGAAAACCAAGAGCCCCTGCCTCAGTTTACACCTTGTCCTACCCATGCCCAGCACAGCTCTGAGTGTGGGCTGCTCCTCCTGGAGCCGGCGAATGGCGGCTGTGGCTGGGGGAGTTTGCTTTGGTCTCCCTGCGACCCAATACCTCTTTCGTAAAGTGGCGAACGTAGGTTTTTCTCTCTTCTTGGTTTGCTGTGTCGTCTGTGCTTCCTTCCGACTAGTCATTGTGATGTTTAAAGAAGAAGAAAAGGAGGCATAGAATGTTACTGATCTTAGAAAGGGGGGAAACACCAAGGGTGGTGCCACTATGGTGAGATTATTTGTCCTGGAGAACAGATCGTGACCAGGTTTGTGAGCATCAGAGACGTGTGGTGTTGTAGCCCTACTTAGGGTGTTTTTGTACAAAAAGAGTTATCTTTTTCAATCTACTAATAGTCCATTAAAAATAAAAAATTGTCAAGTTCATTAAAAACCACAGTCAGCCATGTTCTGATGAAAGAGGTTTTGACTTTCTTTTTAGAGTTAATGAAGATTCAGATGTTTATGGCAGGCAGGAAATCAAGCAGATTTTAATAGGAAATTATGTAAGAAAGCTTAATGACTAATTTTTCTGGATCAGACAAGTGGAGAACACTCTTAGGGAAATGTGGACCTCCATTACTCATTAATTTACTATATGATAATTACCATTGTGTAGAAGCAGCATGTCAGATAGTTAGAAATTGGGTGGCATTTTGTGCTAAGGATCAGAACACAGACTTTGCTTGGGATGTTGAGCAAAATTACACTCTGGCTGACAGTAAACACATGGCAAGCATCCTACGCCTGTTTTTAAAGTCATCAGCCAGTCTTTATTACATTTCTTTGTTCTTTGTTCTTTTGTGTATTTCCATAATGAAAGGAATCTCAGAAAGTGGCATTGAGAGGCCAGCATGAGATCGTCACTGGGATTTTCTCGCATGTGGGACTTCCTCGCATACGCACTGAGCTCTGCCTGACCACACCTTTCCCCTTGGCCACGGCTCAGCTCCTCGTTGTCTCCATAACCCATGTTAGCTTCAAGGCTATTTATCTTTTTAAATAAATGCTTGAAACATAATCAAATTAGAAATGTACGTATACACACATATTCACATATAAATTATGTTACTCGGTTTGATCATAACATCCCACTGCACCCTGTTTCCTCAGGTGCCCTGTGCCTCGGAGCCCTTACCCAGCAGCACCAGGTCGGAGTGGTACCTCCTCGGAGCAGGGTTGGCAAATTCAAGTACAGTAGTGTGTGGAAGTGTTCACAGAGCCCCCTGCACACATTAATGCCCAGGAACGGTAGAGGCCCCCTGCGCCCCGCCCCCACCCCCCCTCTCTCACATGGTCAGGGCATTTTGTTTCAACCTGTTTTTGCCTTGTTTGGGATTCCTTGAATGACTTACCATTTGTAGTAGCATTGACTTTTCTGCAAAATACTGCCGTGAAACCCAAGCAAGTAACAATGGGAAGCAAGTGCCAGCTTTGATTGCTTTTGTCCTGCAAATGCCTTGTACCCCTTGCCCGGTCCTCCTCCTCTGGAGTCCAGGCTTGTGTGTCTGGAATGGAGAAGGACCAGCCCTGGCAGCTGAGGAGCTGCCCGCCCCTGGCCCAGGGTTTTCAGGAGGAGCCAGGACCACACCCCTGGCACTGGCGATCCCGGGTCCTTGCAGGAGTGTGGGATGGGCTGCGGCAGCTTTCCTCCGTGTGCACGTGTGCGCCAACTTCCAGGTAGAACTGAGTCCAAGAAGAGGCAGGACTGCGTGTGCCGCCAGGTTTATTGAAGAGGGTGTGGGGGTCGCCGGTGCCTGACCCTCATTATGGCAGTCAGTGCCGGATGGAATGGGAACTTGGCTGCCCCTTTCCCCTGGTGACGTGCCTGTGCATTGATCTCGTGAGAGCATCCGGATTGAAGCGCCGCTCGAACGGCCGCCTCCTCTTTACCCTCCCTCTCACTGTTCTGCGCGGTGGATGTAAGGCACGGTGTAGTGGCGAAAGGTTTCCTCAGAGAGCCCGGGACCGGCCGGGCCATGCCAGGTTGCCCCCTGGCACCTCAGCTCGGAGCCCCAGCCTTTAGCTTTTGTCTGTTCCAGGCTGCACTTTCATTTCTACAGAAAAGGCTTTTTTTGCTGCCGTTAACACAGCTTGTGTTTTCCTGCCTATTAGGTGAGCGTGTGCACACACTGAGCTTGCAGGTGAATGTCGAGGCCAGCTTGGTGGGGACCTGTCTCTCTATACCCCACCCACAGCCACCCACTTTCCAGAATCTTCTTCAAGTGGGGGTACCGTGTTTGGAGTCCAGGACGCTGGCTGGTCTGGCTGCAGGCCTTTTCCTGCTTGTTCTGTGGGTCTTAGGCCTCTGCTTCTGTCCGGTTGCTCGCTTGGCTCCCAGCGTGCCTCCCCTTTGAAGGTGAATCCAGTCTGAATCCAGGCCAAGCCTTTCTGCATTTCCCCTGGCTTATTCCATGTTTTCCCATCAAGAATAAATTTCCATTTCCATTAGTGAGAACCCTAATCTTTCAAGGACAGATCAGATGTCCAAGTTTCCATGAAAACCATCTCCCTTCAGGTCCCTACGAGTGCGGGGGTACGTCTGCCGTCTTTGTAGCCCTTTCTTACTATCTTTTAGCAGATAACATGGAGCTGTGTGTGTGTGTTTGTGCGTGTGTGCTCACACCTGTGTGAGTGCATACACGGGTATGGGCATGTGTGTGTGTGAATGTGTGCCGATATGTACACAGGGGCATGCGTTTGTATGCATGGTTGTGTTTGTGTA